ATGGACAGGCTGAAGTCATTCACCTTATTTGCAGGGGGAAAAAACCCAAAGCCAACCTGCAGGAATAATTTTACTATAGATTTGATTTCAAACAAGTATTTGGATGGTTTGGATAACGTTAATATGAAAGCTGTCTTTTGAAAACTGAAGCCTCCTACTCCTCCACTCTTTCCTTCTTAAGCATGAAGCTGGTTTTCACCAGCAAATTTGAATATGTGGAGAAATTCCTATGAGTTTGGTACAGTATATGATTTCACAATTTATTTTTGCACATATATAAAATGTGGCTATAAAATGCCTTTGAGCAACAGGCGCGTGCCATGTGCGCTAAGTGATGTGGTATGCTATGAGACAGGAAAGGCAACCAGAGCGAGGACAGAGGAACCAGAAGGGAAGGTTTCTGACTATTTGAATAAAATACTGATTTCCATATATGATTTAATTACTGAGATTCCCTGAGCTATATGTTTCAAAATCAGGCAAAATTCTGGCATTGCAATTAGTAAGACAGAAGTTGAATCCACAGCCTCTCAGTCATTTTTAAAAAAAAACCCATATATTCACTCCATCATTTCTTATGTTTTCTTATGCAATATCTGACAACTAGCTACTTATAGAGAACACGTTTGCATTCTGCTGTGAGTGTGCTTAAGGTTATAGTGATTTTTTTCACTTTGTAGTTTTTTTGTTTATAGTACTCTGTAAAGTCTCATTTCAGGCTGAAATTATTTATCCTCAGTCAAAAGTTAAAGAAGAAAAGTTAAGTTAAAAGATATGATTTTTTTTTTTATAATGTTCAATAACACTAAATATTCCTCACAAATCTATAGCATGTATTAGAACTGCATTACAAACAGAGTTTTTTAAAAAAGTAGGTATCAAAGACTTGTAGTATTTTGTTACTGCATATGTATTGGAAGTTGTATTGAGTTTGTGGGGGGTTTTTTTGTTTGGTTTTTTTTTTTTTTTTTTACACAGTGACTGTTGTCCTTCTCTTTGGTCAATACTTGACATCTGTAGAACTGCAAATAAATAGTCCAGATCCAGTCATGATTGTAGTGAAAAGAAAAATTCGCTGTGGAGCTGTCAAATGTTAACTACTGTAAGTGGTGCATTTTTCATAGAGCACTTTGGATGTCTCGGAGTAGTACATTAGAAAAAGCTTGTTAAGTCCACAGACTGTGAGTTTGTCCCATACTAAAAAAATACCATCTAAGTATTCTCCAATCCTTCATACTTTATTCTAACAGCATGTTAATAACATATTGAGTAGATTGCCCAGCCATAGTGGCCACATGTAAACAAAGTGATCCTTAATTCCGACTGCCCTGAAGTGTGGGTGGCATGTAGAGATGCCAGCTGAGACTTTGCAAATTAACATGTCAACATTGGAGTTTCCCACATTGCGAGCCTCTTGTTCTCATGTTCACATGGTTGCTGGTAGCTGCCTAAGGTGTACTTTTCTCTTGTAAGCCTTTCTTTTCCTTACTGGTAGAGTGCTTGCTTTTGAGTATGGTCTGCATACTTGTGTAAAACTCCTAAAAAAAAATCTCAGGGGTGTGTGCACATAGGAAGAGATGATGTGATAAGTATCATAAAGTGCGAAGGACTCTGGGTCCATGTTTTTATCTTCTTTCTTGTAAAGAAAGTATCTTCAAATAATGGTTTGTTGACACTTTGTCTTCACCAGTCAAAAAACTGGTAAAGACCAATATGCCAGCTTCTGTGCCACTGAAATTCATCACGAATTCAACTAAAAATCTACATGTGAGGAAACAAAGTATGTCATGAAATTACTGAATCAATTGGAAGAGCCCACAGATCAAAAATCACAGTTTCCTAGCATGGTAAGACTACAGAAAACTGCTGCTGTTGACTACTGAGACAATTTTGTCAGAACAGATTTGAATTCGTAATGTGCTAAAGTGAGTAAATTGCTGAGACAGCAGTACTGACAAAAATGCTTTTTAAAGGCCTTAAAAGAATGGGGGAAAGGACAAACTACTGATGACCTACCGAAAAATTGGAGTTGACAGACCAGGAAAGAAAATAACAGATCTGAGTACTCCTAACTTCTAGGACTTCTAAGCTTTGAAACACAGTGCTGAATCTTTTGAGTATTTCATGGAAGTGCTCACTAGTACGTGAATTTGTATATGAAGCAACTGAATTGGTGCGTCATGTCTTCAATTTGTGTGTTCAAGTTTTGATATAAAAGAGAACATCATGCAAGTCTGTGAGAAACTATTCTGAAATAGGGGAGGCCAGACTGTGAAGAGATGGGTACAATCATATTCATCTGAGATCAATAGATGTTACAGTGAGAAAATTCATAAAAAAACAAAGATCATGTACACTAGGATTTTCAAAGGCACCTAAATGAAATATCAAGATCTCATTGTGTTTCACGGGGATTTTAGCAGTTTTGTCCCTCTTCTGTTCACAGTCAGGCACTGTTACTTCAGAGTGAGAACATACACAACAAGAGATGCTTCTGGAATAAAAGTGCCTGTACAGGGAGTTAATTATGAAGAGTTAATTCATAATAACTCCTCATGTAGACAAGAAGTTCATATTCCACATTGTGATCGATATTCAGGTGTACGTAATGTGTCTTGAAGTGATGTGCATTGCAGGAATTTAATTTTGAGATAACAAAAGTATGAATCAAGGAAGTGAGAATCTATTTGGAAAGCGCTGCTTGCGTCTTCTTAGCCAGAAACAAATGGAATATAGTCATATGGTCTTAGCTACAATCTGAGCTTCCAGCAATAATGGAGAGACTTCAACATTTTTAGCCTTTCATGTTACTCTGCGTGAAAGAAAAGCAAGTGATTATTGATTCATTCCTAATAAAACAGAAGTTGTAGATGTTTGTTTGTTGTGTCGTTCTCCCTTAAGCTTTTAAAAGTATAAAAACAGATGATTGCTGTTTTGCCATGGTAAATTATTGTAGAAGTAGTAAACCATGAAAAAAAAAAAAATGGGGAAAAAGAAGGTAAAATGTGTGTCCTATTGAGGGCAAAGATGCTTTTCCCATTAATATCAGGAGTGTCCAGATTTACTCCTCATGTGCTCAAATATTTGTTCTTCGTTGATGTTTTTACCAAGACAGTTGATTTTTCAAGGGCATTTAAACATTAAAATCCAATTTTGTGTCTTCACGCGCATATACACATCACGGGAGTCGGTGCAGTGCTAATAGCTATCCTTCGATCTTAAAAGGGATCTCTTTCAAGTACCTGTCAGAATCTGCTCCTGTGTCAAGCCTCATCCAAATGCTTGCCTGACTGAAGCCTAAAGCTATAAAAGGGTTCTGTCAACGTGAATTCCTGCGCTACCTTCCCCTTCATCCTGCTGCGTGTTTGGAAAGATAGTCTGTTTTCTTAACAGTAAAAGATGTGGAAAATGTGCTGAAGTTTGCTGAAAGGAATTTAAAAGGAAATATTTTTGTCTTGGCATGTAGCGCAGTTGTAAGAAGAATCATTTTGATGACATCCATCTGTTGCAGATTAAAATAGGTTGGAATCGGGGATTGTGAAGTGAATTAGTACAGTATGTTAAGTAGGGTGATGGAAATAAATGCATTGAAATGGATTGGGTGACTGAAATAAATTGCTTTGTTGATCAGTATTAATAAGCTGAAAGTGGGAGGCTTTTAGGATATTCTTGTGATGTGAAAGAATGGCTTTCACCTGGTGTTTCTGACAGGGAGGTGCAATTAAATGAGAAACATACTCCATTCGAGGTGTTTCAGTGGAACACCAAGTACTAGTCCAATAGCGTGCATGCTCTCCAGTACCTCTCTAATCATATCCCCACAAAACAGGCTTTTACAGTTATTTATCTGCTTTTTGAAACTCACTCCTACTCTATTTATTTCTTTTAAGTATGAAAATTGTTACTGTCTCTGTGTGCGTTCCCAAATGCTTATTCTGTTTAATCATTACTTCTGTTGCACGACTTTGGTTTTTTCCTCTTGGTATCTGCAGTTGCATTAGTAGCCAATTTACCTGTGAGTAGGTTCACGTGTGGGGGAACATCAAAGTATGTGCTGGTTTCAAATAGCCAATGTAATTTCATGTCATAGCTGTAGATAAAGGCAAGAGGGCTGACACATTTCATGCTCCCTTGCTTAACAGTACATCCCACAATCTAACTGGAAAATGAAAACATGAGGTTTGGTTTTTTTTAACCTATAAATGCTAATGGGGCTTTAAATGCGATCGTATGAATGCAGGCAGTTTAGGAGTGAGCGTGTTTACAACATTATCCTGGATTTAGATACTCAGGCTTGAGTACTTCATCCGCTTTGTTCTATGGTTAGCTACACTTGCAGCGCTGCCTGGTTTTGTGGGCCCTTTTTTTTTTTTCTTTTTTTTTTTTTTCTTTAGCATGCCCCAATTCTGTGTCACAGGTGATAAAATATATCCATTGGACTTTTTTGCTTTTGGATATTGTTTTTTCGCCAGTGTATACCTCTGTGTTACGCCAGTGTGTGTACATGAATAGGCACTGTAGTCATGTAACTTTTTATGCCAAGTACAAATCCAACAGCAATGTATGTTTTCTTAAGTAGCATAGCCAAGAACAGGATTGGTCAATTATTTTCCAGAGTTTTGAGCGCATATATATATATATATGTATAAAAAAAACCCAGAAAACTATGACTAGCAAGTTGATGCATTAATTTTTTTGTTGTTGCTAATATCAGTTACAATGATTTCTGTTTTTTTTCTTTGGTTCATGCTTAATTTTGAACTTCAGCAATTATTGCGCTAGTTTGCTCACTCTGACAGGTCTGCAGTTCTTTTGTGCCAGTATTGCCTTCTCCAAGTATGTATATGCTAATTAATGCAGATATCATGCAAAGTCAGTTTTCTTCACAGTTTTATTCTCCTGCAGCATAAAATGTGGAAACCTTTCACTGATGCTGAAGTTGTACTCTCTTTTAAGTGGGAGCTAACTAGAGAATTTTTTTTCTTCTTATCTTTTTACAGTCTGACAGCAATGCAAGCTTTCTCCGAGCTGCCAGAGCTGGCAATCTGGACAAAGTAGTGGAATACCTGAAAAGTGGAATAGACATTAACACATGTAATCAGGTAAGATATTTGAAGGACAGAAGTTTGCAAGAATAAGTTGCACCCCCACCCCCCCCCCCCCCCAAACCTATTTTTTTCAGGCAAGGTTACTTCATGCAGATGTTTTGATTCACTGCAAGCTATGTTTTCAGTCTTGTTCTTCAGTGGTATCTTTCTACAGTAGGCTGATAATGTTTGTAAAATTGTGTTGCTTTTAGTAAAGCTTTCTGTAAGCCTTTTTGGGCACCTCTTTCTTGCCAGTGTCCTGCAGGTATGGATATATGTTAGTGAAGTACCTATGATCAAAACTTAAGGTATGCTTTGATAGTCTAACGCTAATGGACCTGCTATTGTGAAGTTCCATTCCAATGGAAACCGTGATACTAAATATAGTTGCATTCTTCAAAATACTCAAGTTATTAAAAAAAAAAAAAAGTTCTAATTCAGGAAGTTATTAGGTAGTATTCTTTGGATACAGGTAAATACTATGATAAAATATGCCTGGATATCAAGTTGAAGGTTCTCAGTAATTCTGGTTGCTTTCTTTGTAGAAAGCTACAGTGTAGATGGCCAGAGGCATCTGTGTTCAGCAAAACCCACCCCACTCCCGGTCTGCTTGGTTTTGTTTTGCTGTGAGAGAGTGAGATTGAACTCTCTGTCTGAACAGGAGACTTGGAAAGCTGAGGCCCACCCGTTAGCCAGTTTTCTTTCCCATACGGAAAGTCTCTCATTCTTTTATTTGTCTGGAGAAGTGGGACTATGCCAACACTCATATTTTTTTCTCTGTTAGTTATTGCTGTTTATATACTGTATCCATTTATTAATTGTAATGAGGCATGCCCATGTAACGGGTATTCTTAATTTTAATGAAAGATATGCCTTTCTCTAGAGAACTTGCATTGCAAATAGGAGTTGAGGAGCAATAGGTATTACAACAAATTGACAGATGAGCAGAGGATGGCAGTGAGATGACTGTGATTAATAAATTCTACAGCATGCCAGCTGTCAGGGTTTGGGATTATTTATTTTTAAAGCTATTTCAAAGACCTCTTTTCTGGCATCTTCACAGGTGTAGGGGTTTAAAAGAAAGTTCCAAATTTCCTGTTGCAAATGTTTGTCCAAAGGACAGTGTGAGCTGGCATCCTTGGCAGAGCCAAGGAAGAAGTTGAAAGCTGTGTATGAAAAATGGTATCCCTAGCTTATATGTGAAGACATTGCTTGGAAGTTTTGAAGTGAGGTGTGCTTGAATGAATAAGAGAAGTCAAGCTGATGGAGACTAACCATGTTTTCCAGGCAACAGTTTGCAAAGATAAATGTAGTACTGTTTGAGTGGATTTCAAAATGGAGTTGCAAAACATTTTTCAGTCACCTGAAGAAGTTTCTTGTAAACGTCATTTTTTTCATATTCAGTGTGTTATGTTTAAGCCCTGTAGCACAGGGACATTTTTAGAGTCTTGGGTTTCTATCACATCTAGAGCAAGCGTTCTCTTCCAGGAGACACTCTAATTCATATGATAGTAATAGCAATAACTTAAAAAAAGAAGTAACAGATCTAAATTTGTAAAAAACTTTTTACTATTCTTAAATAAATTATCCTGGTCCTATTTCCAATATGTTGATACATGTTTCTCCAAAATAAAGAAATATGGCCTGTGTTTTCAGTTTTATGCTTACTTTTCAGGGCCTGTTATTGCTTGGCTTGCTCATTAAATTAATGTGAATGCTGGGGGAATGGGATAGCAATTGAATAAGTCATAATAAAGAGAGCAAATGCTAGCAAAATGAAGAGGTAAATTTGCACGTTATCTGTGGATTTTATTAATCCTTTTTATTCAGATCATTCAGTTAATATTTTAGCAAGCAAATTTTAGAACTAAAATATTATTTGCTTGTACACAATAATCTATTAAAATCAGGTTTTTCAATGTTTTTTCTATTTTGTGGTGAAAAGTATCATCCAAGTATCACTAAATAACCTAAAGACAGAAAAAGGACGGAAAGTATGTGCTTTACTGAAGAGAAGAAAGATAATTCCATTGTGAATCTAATGTCCCCCCATCATTCACATTACATTTATATTTGATATAATAAAAAATATACCCTTTCTGGCAGAGTACGTTTCAGGTATAAGACATTTAGACCTGCTCTGTCCTTTGGGAAGTGTGTAGGGATGGAATATACTGGTACTGGATAGCGGAAAAAATTGAAGTAAAAAATATTATTTTAGATTTTGTATAGCGAAAACACCCATATTGTCTTATGTCTTCTGATTGCTCTTCAGATTAAGATCAGAAATAATCGAGGTTTTCATTACCGTGTCCTGAGACACAGTTGTGGCTCCTAATGTAAATTGTGTCCATAAGCTGAGCTGCTAGTTGCCGTGGACATACCTATGATAAATAAGTAAAATATTTAGGAAATAAAGCTGTATTTATCTTTGGAATTAGTAAGGAAATTATGTTGTGACTCCATTAAGCTGTGACAGCTAATAAATTGCTCTCCAGGGCAGCTAGAAGGAAAAAGGCTGTTGAAACAGCACTTCTAGGTTTTTTTGAACAACTAAGGTGAAAGGTACACATTTTCCAAGTCAATCATCAGACTGAAAGCTTGAGTTGTTTTCCTGCTCTGATACGAACGTGGGCTTTAGAAGCTGTTGATTTCTTTGGTAGCAAAGAAATGCTACAAAAGCATGGGTTTGATTTGGTGGCAAGAGCAATAATCCCCCCTGATACTGTAAGCCTTCATTTTTCTGAAAGAATTTTAACAAAGTCGTTGGGGAGCATGCTCTGGAATAGTACCCTGCCAGCAGTGCTGATGGCAGATTCCCCAGTCTTTGGAATTTGATTTGCAATTACTATATCTCTGAAACCTTGGTGAAGAAATGAACCTTTTGTTTTTCTTTTTTGATATCTGGAGGCCACTTGTATGAAAATTATTAGTAAGTTGCTTCAGAAACCTGTAAAGGGATTACTTTGAAGGGGCAGAAAGAGTTGTGAGTTTTCTAAAGGTAGTATTCGTACATGTCGCGGTTTAAGCCCAGCCGGTAACAAATCATCAGGAAGCTGCTCGCTCACTCCACCCCCCTGCCCCTGTCCTGGTGGGATGAGGAGAAAATACAAAGAAACGCTCGTGGGTCGAGACAAGGACTGGGAGGGATCACTCACCACTTACAGTCACAGGCAAAAGACAGGCTCAACTTGGGGAAGAAACAAAATCAATTTAATTTACTACTACCAATCAAACCAAAACAAGGATATTAGTAAGTAAAACCCAACCTTAGAACACCTTCCCCCCATCCCTCCCTCCTTCCCACCTCAGCCCCACTCCTGGTTCTCCCCCCCTCCTCCCCCCGACGGCACAGGGGCTGGGGCTGGGGTCGGTTCCTCACACGCTGCCTCTGCCGCTCCTTCCTCCTCAGGGGGAGGAGGACTCCGCAGTCGTCCCCTGCTCCACCGTGGGGTCCCTCCCACGGGAGGCAGTTCCCCACGAACTTCTCCAACGCGAGTCCTTTCCGCAGGCTGCAGTTCCTCACAAAGTTCCCTGGCGTGGGGCCTTTCCGCGGGCCGAGCTTCAGTCACACTCTGCTCCAGCGCCGGCTTGCCCATGGAGTCCCGGCCATCTTGGGGGGCATTCCTCTGCTCTGGCGTGGGCTCCTCTTTCCCTGGGCTGCAGGTGGGCATCTGCTCCCCTGCTCCCCTCCGGGGGTTGGGAGGGGACAGCCTGCTGTCTCACCACAGCCTGTGGGGCACCCCCTCCTCCTACTTCTTCTCCACTGACCTCGGTATCTGCAGAGGGGTTCCTCTCACATTCCGATCCCACCACTCACTGCAGGTTTCCCCTCTTAAATCCGTTCTCCCAGAGGTGCTACCGCCGTCGCTGATGGGCTCGGCCTTGGCCAGTGGCGGGTCCGGCTCGGAGCCGGGGAAGCTTCTAGCAGCTTCTGAGAGGAGCCGGCCCTGCGCCCCTGCCCCGCTACACAAGAAGCCTGCCACGCAAACTCAAAACAATACATCATCTTCCCTTGGCTTACTTGTGGTATACCCTAAACCTATTATTATAAGAAAGAGCTTTGTACTGTTTTAACTGTCTTTTTTACATTTCTGGTGCGTCTTTGACTTCAGTGGTTCAGTTCTAATGGAGACTTTCTTGGTCTGTTGTTTGCGTAAATGCCCAAATCCTATCTGGGCCTTCATAAAATTTTAGAAAGCATTTTTCGCAGCTGTATAGTAGTTAGTGCATGATCTCATATGTCTTCAGTGGGTTCTAAAACACTTCTTCATTTTGAAGTTCAAAGGAAGTGGGAGGAGGTTTAGCACTCCACAGTGCCAGTCTCCTCCCTTAGGAGCAGTTGCTGGAACTGTAGGGGTAATTGTTCCACCAAGAGCAAGATTAAATCCAATTCAAAATGTGCACTCACATAGTAGAAAGAGCACTGGGCAGTGTGGGCATTATAGAAATATTATGTACTACTTTATCACCCTGAAAGCATTATGGTCAGCCAGTTGATTTTCCTTAGCCAGCCCATGTGAAGCACCTGATCCCCTGTGACCTGAGGTGCGGAAGTCTGAGGTTTCCCTTGCTATTTTTGTGAGATCTCAGCTGGTAAGTAAACACTCAGTGGGTAGTTATTTTTAGCTGACTAGCTAACTTGTGTCCAAGCAGATTAAAATCTTGTAGCTCACTTGCATTAGCAATGCAATTCTGATTACCCTCAGATGGTTAGAGAGTAGCCAGATTTTTTTACCTTGTTTCAGGAAAGTGTAAGCTTAAATATGTTTTTATCATTGGTTGATCTTAACAATAACATGAATTGTTTTATGTATTTTTATAAAAAGGCACTTAAATTTTCTGCTTAAAATATTACCTTCCCTTTCAGGAAAGTTATTACTGCTGTAAAAATACACTGTTAAAGTTTCACTATTGATATGACTGTAATGTGATAGAATGTTTTAGTTTGGCTCTTTTGTAAGTCTGTCATATAAATCCGATTACTCTTGCTTCATAGTCTAGGGACCTACATT